AACTACTTCACTCTGTAACTGCCATTCTACCAATCCCAGAAATAACTGACAAAGGTGAATATTGAAATTGAAAAATCTTCTGTCTCATCTCAAACAGCTGTAGAATTTAATCCTCTGGCTTTTCATTTTACTACTTCACTCTGCAACTGCCATTCTACCTCATTCAGTTTTGTTAAGCATTGATGTTTGGCAGAGCATCTAGAATTCCATCGAATTACTTTATCTTCATTCTTCATTCACCCCATTATTTTTCATTCTTGTCAACTCTTTAGCTATTTTTCTCCAAATTTCACATCTCAACGGAGAATTCTGGTAATGTGTTTTGTTGATTGCACTTTCCTCCTTTAATAGCTATTATTCCACTATTAAATTTCAATTTATAATAGTCATATTATTCACATTGATAAATATATGGTACTTTTCCAGTTATATGATGGAACGCAGTGGTTGGACCGCGGTATTGCAGGATAATTTTGCTGACTGCCGATTGCCAGCAGTTCGATTCTCACTGCCTCAAGGTTGACTCAGCCTTCCTCCTTCCGAAGTCTGTAAAATGAGAACCCAGATTGTTGGGGGCAATATGCTGACTCTGTAAACCGCTTAGAGAGGGCTGTTAAGCAATGTGAAGCAGTATATGAGTCTAAGTGCTATTGCTATGTTTTTAACTAGATATTTTGTAGAGTAATTTAATTCTCAGAGTTGTTTTGCAAACCAAAATCCTCTTATGGGACGCATGTAAACTTGCCCATCATTTAAAGGAAAATAGGGTTGAAGTGAGGATTTCTTGGTGCTCTCTGAGTTAGTTTTCTTGCAGATATTTTATAACCCAAACTAGGTAACATCATCTGTGCTAATAAGTGGTGATGGTTTCTGAGATGTTCTTGATGTATGCCAGTGTTAATTCTTTTTAGGGCTTGTGTTGGGTTGAGTGGTCAGGCACTTTTTGATAAAGTTGAATGAATATCCATTTTGTTGGAAGATGTTGTATAGATGCTCCATAAACTTTAATTTAGATGTGCTGAATTACTCATATATGGAATTACCAATAATTGTATTTGCAATTCAAATATGTATTAGAACTGCATTGCTTTCCTACGAAGAACAGGATAAAGATGTTTTGTACTTTTGGATCTCAACCTGAAAAAAAAGGGTGTGGGCACAAGAATGTATGATACAGTGGTCAACATCTTCTTAAAAAACATGGGTCTTTCCCTAGTAACTGGACAAGCTATGAAAAACAAGGAAAAGCTGAAAGGGTGCACACACACACACAGAATCTCTTTTAATTCAAACATTAATTTCCCTAAGATATGCTGAATTATACATAGAGGCTTAAATCTGATCTCTTTTCACTATACTGGGCAATTAATTCACAAGATATTTTAACTATTCCTTCCACATGCAAATATTTATAGAGGATAAGTTCAAGATGGAATATTCATCACTAGAACATGACATCAATCAAGTTAAGAAATACTGAAATATAAGAATTAGTACAGCTCACAATAAATCCCTTGAATCTGCATATTTATGTCAGTAGACTAAGGGGGTGAATCCACTATACCAAAAGCTCTTGCAACTTCCTACAGTGTAGGTCTGCTGCTGTTAATATGCCACAAACATACAGTGTGCCCATTAGACACAGCAAGACACAGAGTGCCTATTCTGACAATACCAGGCAAAATTGAAAAAGCTGACTACATATTCATAAATGTTACAATTATGATGAAATGACATAATCAATTGAATATAACATTTCTAGAAAAACAAAGAAAAATCCCCTATGTCACAAATACTAAAAATTTGCACCTTGGGGTTCAAAGAGTATTTCTTTCCAAGCAGTCTATATTAAATTTATATACCACCCAATTCCAATGACTGAGCAGGACACAACAAATTATAATGTAACTAGTAAAATACTAGGAAATAATTTTCCCCCCAGTATAGTAAAAACGATGAGTCTCATGGCAGTTTCATCAAATGTATTAAGAAATATAAGTTAGAATTGGTTTTAGCAATCTGTTTGTGTGCACGTGTGCCTTCGAGTAATTGTTGACTTCTGGCAACTGCATGGGCAAGTCCCTGAAGTTAACAGAATAATAAGAGTTGGAAGGAACTTTGGAGGTCCCTGCTCAAGCAGGAGATCCTATGCAGTTTGGGACAAATGGCTGTCCAATCTCTTCTTATTCCTCCGAGTCCTCCTCTGTCTCTGTATTAAGATCTCCCATAGCCCAAGAGCACAGCAGCAGTCCCAGATAGGGAGGGGGATGGGGCAAGCAATGCTTTTGACTCTCTCTGTAATGTTTTCCTAAGTTGTTTGCCTTTTTCCTAAGGTTGAGACGGTATGACTTGCAGAAAGCCACCCAACTGGCTTTGTGCCTAAGGCAGGATTATAACTCACGGTCTCCAAATTTCTAGCTGGGCCTTAATCACTATAATAAACCAAACTGATAATCCATATTTCAGATATTACTAAAACAGCTCTCAAATACACATCAGAATCTTCCTAAAAGTGCTCACAATCGTGACTATTCAGTAACTTTCAAATCTGTTCAACTCTAATGAGCAAATACACATTTCCTCTTCTCCATACTTACTTCTGAGTCTACAGCTGCATGGCAGCATATTAAATTTCAATCTTTCTTATATCCAAAGTTTTAATGATGAATTCAATAAAGATATGAATAATCAATTTAAAAGGTTTTAATAAACCGATTTGATGTTTCAGTGCTCTTTCTGGTGTTTTCTTCAAGATTCAATCACTTGAAACTCACCTTCTTCTTCTAAGTCAGAGGTGTCAAACTGCCGGCCCCGCAGGCCGGTTTCATCATACCGGAGCCACGCCCACCCCATTGCCGGCAATGGCGAAAAAGCTCTGATACGTTGCGCGACATCATGTGACGTCACGAGTTTGACATGTCTGTTCTAAGTTATCAAAACTGTGTGATTTAAACATGGAACACAAGCAACAACATGCACAAGTAGGACCATTTCTTCCATAATATAAAAACATAAAAGTCCTGAAGGGCTTTATTAAAAAGATGACATCAGTTGTTGTGTTCTGGAGGGTTATTTCCCCCAGTTTAAGAATGAAGAAAAATGGAAAAATAAGAACCACAGATCCAAGACCAACTGCCTTCATGTTTTTTGCTGGCTAAAACCCAGTTGACATTTTATCACCTATAAAGTAACAAAACACAATGTAATGGGGATCAGAAGAGGTCATGTAAATAAAAAAAGGCTGTCACATGCAGTCATGAAAATAAAGAACTAATGAACACAGTCAATTATTACTTTTTTTTACTCTCCATCTTAATTGGTACCAATCGGTACCTGTGTAAGTTATAAAGTGAAATTTTGCTTGAGTTGACCTTGAATGCATCAGACTGCAGCCAATGGATGCAATTTCCACTGTGACTTATCATTATGTCACAATCCCATGACAATGTGTTAACAATGCAAATGGTGTAACATTGGTATTAAAAATATTCTAAACACAAATTTCCATGACATACCAAACTCTCCAATTTAGTGAGCATTCATCTATTACAATTCTTGCAATTCCCTGATTTTGTGATCCAACAAACTCAGATGGCAAGAACTGGCATTTTTTTAAAAAAATATTGATCGTTATCATAATTTCCCATACATATACAAAATACATACAATATCGTGCTACTATCACAGAACCCAAAACCAGTTTGTTACAATGCAGAGATTTGCTGAAAGCTCAAAACAACCGCTATTCTCTTCGGAGCCATCACAACTACCTGGCCTTTTTCTCACTCCGACTTTATTGCCCGGAAGAGAGAGAGAGAGAGGGGAGGGAGAGGGAGGGAAAGCTCTCTGAGGTGCTGACAGACAGTAAACACACACAAAAAAACACGGTACATCAAAAACCAGGAGCACTTCAGTAAGATTGGATCATTTCAGTGGTGGGATTCAAATATGTGAACAACCGGTTCTCTGTGTGGATGCTGCTTCTGGAAGTCCATTCTGGGCCTAGGCAACAAAAAAATAGCTACCGGTTCTGCCAAACTGGTGCGAACTGGCTGATTTCCACTGAAAAGAACCGCCGGTTAAGAATACATCAATTCCTGAAACAAATCGCAGGGAAAAAATAAAAGGCTAGGAAGCCGGCCAGCGAGGGAGCGGTGCACCCGCATCGAAAGAACACCCCGCCGCCATCTTCCCTGAGAAAACACCGCGCTTTCTGAGGAAAATGGCTCCTTCTTCTTCTTCAGGCGATGAGGCAGGTGGAAGAGATCCGTTGGTGGGGGGAGGGAGAGGAGAGACATGCGCGTGCCCGCCTTGGCAAGAAAGGACGAGAAGCTGCAACTGCCACTCTCCCTTCAGCAGGCGGCGAGAAGGGGAAGAAGCGAGAGCGAGCTCCTCACGTGCGTGCGATAGTTCCACCCTCCTACTCCCCTCCCCCGATTTAAACGGTCATCTGAGTCAGAAATAAAATGCGTGGGAGGGGAAAGAGAGGGTAAAGGCGCCACTCCCCCACCCCGTCCGGCCGTCTCTCGCGAAGCAGGGCGACGCCCCTCGCCCGGCGGTGGCCCCATCGATGCTGGCCACGTGACCAGCTCTCGCCCAATCGCCGTCGAAGGGCGCTGTCGGAGTCTCCGCCCCTTTCTTCTTCTCGCCGCATTGTGTGAGGGGAAGGAGTATCGGTGCGGGTGTGAGACCGGAGCGGATCAGGGGCAGCGAGGGGGCGACCCTAGGTGGTCATTTCCCTCAGCGTGAGGAGAAAGAGAGAAAGGGGGAACCGACGGCAGTGGAGAATTGAGGCGGGAGGCGGGTGGATTGGACAGTGCTGCCTTTGGAACTGAGGAGATAACGGCCGGAGAGTGGGGGAGGGGTCAACGGACGGGAGCACCGAGACGGGCGAAGAATGTGGCTCTGGGCTGGGAGGTGCTGGGCTTGGGTCGGGCAGAGATAGTTTCTGAGAGGGGAAGGCAAGCACATCCCGCTTTTTCTCTCAGGGGAAGGGGCTTGGGGGAGAGGGGTGCCTGTCACCATCATGGCCTTCTCCAACTACAGCAGCCTGCAGCGTGCTCAGCTCACTTTCGAATATCTCCACACTAACTCGTGAGTAGGAAGGGAAGAAGGCTGTGGGTTACCAAATGTAGCATTAAGAGATTTCTTCTTCCTTGGATCTTGGTAATCACTACTGCACTAATCCAAGAAAACAAAAACCACCTCATCGGGTAGAAGGTAATCCTCATGGGCGATCAGAAAACGCATGAAAAGCTGCTGGAATCTTTGACATGAATCAGCTAGCTGAAGTTGCTCTCCAGTTCAGGATTCACTGGATCCCGAAGAATTGTTTTGGACCTTTTAAAAGTGCTTTAGGCTCAAGGAACGGGAAAAAGGATTTGAAAAGGTGATGCAATAATGAAGCAATATATGGAATTGAGAAACAAGGCTGATGCAATCTCTGAAGACGACAACAATAAGCTATACTGTCCAACAACAAAGTTTTGATAGCAAGAAAGTATGGACAATTCCGTAAAGATATTCAGTAAGCAAGCCTATGATCGCTGATCGATCAGGAAGCATAGCTTTTAAATAACAGAAGTTTAATAATAATAAAGTTGGAAGGGACCTTGGAGGTCATCTAGTCCAACCCCCTGCTCAGGCAGGAAACCCTATACCATTTCAGACAAATGGCTGTCCAGTCTCTTCTTAAAAACTTCCAGTGTTGGAGCATTCACCACTTCTGGAGGCAGGTTGTTCCACTGGTTAATTGTTCTAACTGTCAGGAAGTTTCTCCTTAGTT